ACATTTCCATAATGGCTTTATCTAATGGCTCTTTCACTGAGTCTTCCTGTTAGCATATTTCTCCTTTCAACATACTTCCAGTTTTGTTTTTGACTGTGGGTATCTGTTTTTATTTATATCTCGTCCACTTACTCAGCATCTTATTTCTTGAGATAGCTTTATGGCACACATGTACTACAAGAGGAATTACACACTCATTTGTTAAGAAAAGAAACAGCTGTTTTCAAGATTGCCTGGCTATACTCTAGTGCTTAAGACAAGAAGGACGAATGCAAAGAAAGAGTATGGTTTAGCATCTTCTTCAGCTAAACAAGGAGACTGAGATTTGCATGTATTATATGCTAATGGTGCTACACACAAATGCAACTTCCACTCAAATGTTCATTTCCAGGCTTTGTGAAACCTGGCTTGCAAAACTTCAAAAGAAACTTTAACCACTACATTATTTTTTGGGCTTGGTCTTCAATGCAAAATTCAAGACAGCCTGGAGAGTACATGGCACACTGACAACATCATGAGTCAGAATCACCTTGCCTGTCTTCCCAGACTGTTATTTCTCTAATGAATCAGGATACTTTTTTCCTTCAAGCACAGAGGTATACAATGGCTGCAAAGTACAATAGACCTCCTAACTCCCAGCATTTAGCAGAAATGAAACACAAATCAGGTCCTCTACACCTGATCCTAAGCCAAAATATACTTCAGTAAAGGAATGATGAGCAACAGGAGAACCCATTTTTCCTGAGTCTCACCAGGAGCTTTTGTCATCCAGCTGCATAAAGCTGACATGGCAAAGAAAGCTCAGTAGGCCAGTGCAGTATGTATATTGCAGCTGAAATGTCCAGAGAATTCAAAACAAATATCTTAAAATATTTAACTGCAAATGGAAAATGGCAACTTTATGAAACTTATAATTCAGAAAAATCCAGCCTAGCTGTCTTGGGAAACAGTGCACAATTTCCAAAGACATCTTCTTATTAAATTTCATCTTTCTTATCTACTTCTTGGAGATGCCTGGAGGGACTTAAGAGTAATCAAGAATATCTTCAATACAGTCAAAAACATTTTCTATGTGTCCTTCTCAAAAAAATATTTAAACTTTGACTTGAAATTCGCAGCAAACAGGAAAACTTCCAAATTAACAACTGATAATAAACTACCAAGAGGAACACCGTACTATGACAGGCCTGACTATACATACACAAACATCAAGAAACATAAATACCAACATTCAGTGCCACCTGTGCTTCAGGTACAGACCCGCTTCCAGTCAACATCAGAACTGGTCAATCTGCAGCCCATCTGACACCATGTACATTCTAAACATCATCACTCTTTCTAGACATATGATAAAGAACACTTTTGTTCACTTGTCTGCCTGAGAAAAAAACCCTATTTACTGACAGAGGAGTTTCCTAAATTTACCACTGTACTAAATATATTGTTTCAGCTAGTATTGCACCTGCTAAGATAAAACTTATTTCAGGTAGATATTAAAAAACAGTACTTCCAAACCTTAAATGACTATACAGCAGGCTTTGCACAGACTGATCCCCTTAGATTTTTGCTGGGCAACAGGAAGCTGGAAGAATCCAGAAATTAACTGTAAAGCAGAAACACCTAGAATTAGCCTGATAAATTCTACAGTTCATCTTTCCTCTTCGTTCACCTGCTCATCAGAATACAAACTTCAGTTACATCAAGCTGGAGACGAATACTCTTCAGGAAAGTGCAATGCGAATAAACGCAACTACATAAAACTGCACTGCTACACAGTCAGGTGATCTCTTCTGTTCAGGAGGGATGGGGCAAGAAGAAGAAAGGCGTGCCGTCCCTTCCAACAGTAGGGACATAAATGTGAACAGGCTGCGAAACTACACCAAGGCCATTCCATTAACAGAGTGGGTCTGTAGCTGCAGGGAAACTACTTGTGGGTCCCAGCTTCATTCCTAGAAGCAGCCAGCCGTAAAACAAAACCCACTGCCAAAACTGGCACTGATAAATAACCAATGATGAGCTGAGCAGAAAAGCAATAGTTATAGAAAATTGAATGCTGTCTTTTCACTTTCCAGAAAGACATGGTCGCATTAACAGTACAGTGTGAGGAATGCTGTGAATAGTTAAATTCACTAACAGCAGTCAGTCCTCATTCCAGAGTCTTCCTCTGAAAAATAAAAAAAAAAAGTGTGTATATATAATGCACATTCTAACCATGTCACTTAAAAAACTGAGGAACATCCATGAAAAACAACTAATTTAAACCCATTAAATTGTACTTCAGGAATTCTGTATATTTCAGTGCAAATCGGTGAAACTGATCTACAGGCTAAGCAGACAGATATATGACCACACTTACAAAGAGAATACAACAGTCTCCTATAATGCACAAAAAAAAAAAAATTCATAGGGCATCATTAAATTTCATAAGCAAATGTTTTCCTGCCAACTGTTATCCAATTTGTTTCAGTAAGCGAGTGGAAAAAAATAAAAAAAGATATCCATTCATTCTTTGTCTGTATGCTTAACTTCAAAGAATTCCAGGAATCTATTGTAAATCTAAAAAACTCCTCAGTCACCACAGCACATTGTTCCCTAAAGGAACACTGGGTCAAATTCAAAGTAGCAGCAATAGAATTGCATTCAGAACTTTTTCTATAGAGCCTGCAATGGACAAAACCTCCAAAGTCAGCACCGAGTCTTCAGGGGGCAAAAGAAAAAATATGGCTGTGAACTTAAAAAGAAGGGAGACCAACAGATAAATCCCCACTGAGTAATTATAAGGAGAGGCTCTCCCAAACATTAGCTAACCAGTACATAAAAGGCAGTTCAGTAAAGACCACAGTCAAGTCAACTAGCAGATTAACATACAGTCATAATTGGCTGCCATCACTGAATAAGCAACCTGAAGAAAACAGACAAAATCCAGCCACTGGTGAAAAAACCTCCAATAATTAAAGATATTTCAGTAAGGCAGACAGCACTCTGAGCGTGCACTATGCTTCTGAAATGACGATTCCCCTGGCCACCTCCAGCTGCTCAGTACTGTTGGCCTGCTGGAAGTTTTCATCTCATTCCTACACTTACAAACACCTGCTAACCTATTTCAGACACAAAGAGTCAGGTTAGCTTTAACACTGTAATTATTACACCTGCCTTTGCCTACCCTCTTTTGATAAAGGTGGTATGGGGAGTGCCCAGACCAGCACCAGGGGTGGCACACAAGACCTCCAGCACAGGCAGGCAGGAAGTAACGGCAGCAACTTCGACAGCGGAGACAGCCACTGCTTGGGGCTTCTGTCTACAGCCACCCTGCGAATTTAGACCAGCACTTTAGTGAGCAAAACACAAGGTGAAGTAATATCTGAAACACTCAGAACACCAGATCAATTCCCAACCCAGAGGACCATATGAAGACATGCTTCCTATATTTTACATTGGTATCACCTGGTGATAACCCCCTAAGCCATTAAGTATCTTTGACTGCCAAGTCTTTAGTTTTTCCTACACAACGGCTTTATCTTTTCCTACCTAATTACATAATACCTTATTTTAATGTCCCACAGACATCTCTAACCAACAGGCTATTATCAGACAGCTTTACCAGGGACAGTATAACATATTGCCAATCCCCTTTCACACACAGTCTCATTAATGACACCAAGAAAATATTAATGATTGCTAAAAGGACTCCACCTTTTCGCTGTACTAGTGGTAACTGCGCTTCTTCGAAGGCAGTGTCACCATCCTACTCTTTACTGTGCCACCCAAATTATGGTGCAGTTTAGACCAGCTAGCTTTGCAATTGCTGTTGATTTTATGACACCTCTTTAACCAGTGTTGGTATGTCCTTACCAAGGTCTGGTACCTTACTGAAACTTAACTACCTTTGCCAAATACTTCATGCAGCAATAACATAATGTTGATGCCACATCTTGTGTGGAGTCATTAAGCCCTCCTACATGAGATGGAGCAGCTTGGCTCACATAACATCACACCTAAAAGTCAACTATCTGGAGGGAAAGCAGCACATTCTTTATTGAAAGCTTCGGTATTTAGCTTCAAATAGAAAAAAAAAAAGGATTTCTTTAAAAAGCAAAGTGCATGCCCTTTTGTGAAAGCACTACAGACGCTCAACATCTGATGTTTTAGGATTATGAGTTTGGAGTCATCTCATTGCCAAAAAAACCAACTTGCAGTAATAAAATGAAAAATCACCCCCCTATGTTTCACAACTCAGAAGTGACAAATACCTCGGGTAGCTTTTGAAGCTGCCAGACCAACCACGATAAACTTCAGAGAGAAGTTTTCAATCACACGTAACTAGGATAGCAAAACGCTGGGCGAAAGTGACCCCTCAAAGCCTGAGTGTACTCTGAAGTTGGGAGAATTATGCTCATTTACAACTTGCATTAGGTAACATGGAAAACTGACAAGTCTTGTTTTGTGGAAGCGACTGATCACAGCACCAAAAGCTGCAGCAACGACTGCGGCCGTGAACTTGGGAAACCTTTAAACCGTTCAGACAGCTGCGAACGATCGCTGCCACCAGGCGCTCTGGGCTCCATCCCAGTGTAGGAAGATGCAAACACGTGGAGCAGCTGCCACGGGACAAGTGCCCGACACTGAGGCCCCGGTCTCGCGCTCACCCACACCGCTTCCACCGGGGCCGCGGCACCGGCCCGGGGCCGAGCCCGAGCCCGAGCCCGCCCCACGGAAGGACGGGGGCGGCGCGGAGAGACCGGGAGCCGTCGGCTGGCACGAGCCACAGACCCCTCCATGCCCGCCGCCGCCTCAGGCCCGCAGCCGCGCACACGCAAGGCCGCGCGCCCAGTGCTCTCGCCAGGGACGGACTGCGAGGGGATCACGGCGGGGGGCGGCCGGACGCAGCGGCCGTCCTTCCACTCGCCACGGCCGCTGACGGAGAGAAAGCAGTGGACCCCCTCCCGCAGCCCCGCTTGCCCCTGTCCCCGGCGGGTCCCGGCCGGTCCCGCAGCACATACCTGGCGCCCACCGCCAGCGGGGCGGGGCTGCCAAACCGCGGCCGCTCTGACTCCTGCTACCGCCCACCCCCACTCCGGCGCCACTTCCGGGGTCCGTGATCGGTGACGTCAGCGCTCGGCGCCGCGGCGGAGAACCCGGAAGTGGAGCGGGAAAAATGGCTGTCGCCCTGCTGCCTTGTCCCATTCTGGCCCGGGCCGCGTTCAGGGTGGGCGCTGGGCTGGAGGCCTGCGAGGGGTGAAGCTCGGTCGGGGTAAAGTTCCGGTCCTGGTAAAGGCCCCTGGAGCTCGGGCGGCTCCCCGGGGCTGGCAGATTTCTGGGGAGGTCACGGTTCCACTTTACAGTTTGACAGCTTTGCTTTTGTAAAAAGAAAATATTTGACAGAATCGTCACAGGATCACAGACTGGTTTGGGTTGGAAGGGACCTAAAAGCTCATCCAGTTCCAGCCTACTGCAACAGGCAGGGACACCTTCCACTAGACCAGGTTGCTCCAAGCCCCATCCAACCTGGCCCTGAGCACTGCCAGGGATGGGGCAGCCACAGCTTCTCTGGGCAACCTGTGCCAGGGCCTCACCACCCTCACAGGGAAGAACTTCTGCCTAAGATCACATCTCAATCTCCTCTCTGTAAGGTTAAAGCTGTTCCCCTTGTCCTGACCCTACAGCCCCTTGTCCAAAGCCCCTCTCCAGGTTTCTTGTAGCCCCTTTAGGCAGTGGCTGCTGCTGTAAGGTCTCCCCTCGAGGAGCCCTCTCTTAACCAGTCTGAACCAGCCCAGCTCTCTCAGCCTGTCTCCAGAGCAGAGCTGCTCCAGCCCTCGCAGCATCCCTGTGGCCTCCTCTGGACTTGCTCCAACAGCTCCATGTCCCTCTTGGTTGTTGCCCCAGAGCTGGACACAGGACTGCAGGAGGGGTCTCCCCAGAGCTCAGCAAAGGACCAGAATCCCTTCCCTCGATCTGCTGCTCACGCTCTGGCGATACAACCCAGACCCCAAGCAACAAAAATGAACTGGTAGAATGTAGGAGTCAGGAACAAGTTTCAGGGGTGGTTTGAATGAGCAGAATGGCTAAAAAAGCGCCCTGTCGGTGATCTTTATGCACCCTTCTAATTGCAGGTCCAAAGAAAGATTGAAGGTGGAAAACCTCATTAAAATAAGGTAGTGGTTTTGGAGATGCTTGACCACCAAAGAACTATTAACCAGAGATTGGATGTTCTTAATATTACAAAGAGGCAGCAGGTTGGAAGTGAAGGTCTCCAGCTCTCATTAGGGGACTGATCCCAAAATTCCAAATAGCAGCAGTGAGGATGAAACAGAGGTACAGTTGGTAAATCATCGTTCACTGGGCTTTTACCTTTTGTTTGCACATAGGACTGTGGAGTTCTGTGGTATTTACAGTCTTCTGTGATCTTCAGTATGTCTCTGTTGAGGAGAAATCTGTGGGGGTTGTAGTGGTCATATTTTACTCTTTTATGGGAATCTGTTAGTTACGGACATTGGAATGTGTGTTTAGTCTTTACAATTAACTACATATTCTTGTTTAGGCTAATATATAAGCCTAAGAAGCTCTTTGAGTTGTTTTCTTTCACAGCCATTTACATATTTCTCAGGCCTTATCAACAGGAGGAAAGCCTAATTTGGTTTGAGGCAAGAATCTGGTTCTCTTGTTGCATGTCTTCCTCATCATTGGACTGTAGCATCTATGCACAGTAAAATTTCAATTTAAGAGCCCTTGTATCCCTGTCTGTGTCTAAGTTTCTATATTCAGTGAAATACTAATTTAATTTGGTATCAACTATTATACAGTGAAATACTAAATTAATTCAGTGTCAGTAGCACTGTTTATCCCGTGCAGCATATGAAACAACAGTCTCTTGCAAAAAGAGTATGTGGTCATGTAATGAAAACTATCCTGGTCTGCATATTTTTAATGACTGCCTGTGCTTCTCAAGTCCATAGGAGGTTGCAGAACTAATTAAAACTGATGGGTGGATGCAGCATTTGTTATGTTTTGCTTCAAAGACAGGTAGCCTCTGTGACTGTAAAGGAAGTGTAAGAAACATGAGGAGATTAAAATGCATAGAAAACCCACCCTTTTTGTATAAATTCTTTCCAAATAAGATGGATTGCACCAACCCCCTTAAATTGCCCAGTTAATACTATATAGAGTTAGACCAGGTTTTGACTTACTTGTGAACACAGATATGAGTAGAAAGTGTGGTAAGTTGCTTAGTGGTGGTACCCAGAGCAGATCACATAATTCTAGTACTTATCACCCTGTTGTGTCTAAACTGCAGTAAAGGAACAGATTCCCTGTGGGGAATATTCCTGAAGGTGGGTAGGATAATTCAGACCAGAATTAACTGATGAGATGGTTGTGGAGTGGCTAAGAAGACTGCAAAAGCCTAAGCCGAAAGGAGAGAAATGAAAAGGAGCACTCTTTGGAGACTGTGATGATGTTTTGAACATAATATGTGCAATAGAGTCATTAATGAGACAGAAATAAGAATTTGATTTGCATCCATGAAATTTGTAGGTGACAGGAAGTTATTACAAGTAATGATCTTCTTGACTAGAACGAGAGAAATGGAATGAAATTTAACAGCATAAAGTTCAAAATCAGGAACTGAAAGAACATAAAATCTTTGCTATGAACTCATTAGGAAAGAGGTCTTAGAAACATTGAGGTTTCTTGAAGACCTTACAACACCTGATTTTCTCTGTCTTGATGCGATGGTTAAGCCAATAGTCATGGTCATGGATCTGTAGGAGAGAGGCATTTCTCTTCTTTTTTTTTTAACACAAACTGGACATCTATCATGTGTTTGCATGGACTTGATCCCTAATGGAGTTGTTTCTGTTCCCATGCCTTTTTTTTTTCCCTCCAATTTATAAACATAATAAAGGCCAGAAACTGTGTTTCCTTCCCACAAAACAATTAGGAAATTGAATTTTAAAGACAGGTTGTTTCAAAGGGAAAAATTGGCAACTTCTAGTCATGTAAAATAGCGGCAACTCTACACTGAAAACAGCACGGGGTGTGTGTGGGGGGGGTGTGTGTGTGTGGGGTGTGTGTGTGTGTGTGTGTGTGTGTGAAATTCAGAAACAAGGCCCTGAGACTTCCAAGAAAGCCACAAAATAATAATACCTTGGAAGGAGGGGGCCTGGGATGCTCTGGGAATGTGAGATAAGCAGACAGCAGGTTAGCTGACCTATGAAGGAAGCACGGAGCTGGGTGAGTGGCTCTGAGTGTCTGTTTGCAGCATGAAGATGGGAAAAGCCCTCTCAATTGAGGGCTGCAGTCTGCATGACTGAGCATGAAATTTTTAGTGCTGTCAGTATGAAAATACTTTTTTCTAAAATTTAGAGGCAAAAAATGAAACTCAGAAGAACTGTATCGAAGATGGTTAGAAGTTATTTTAAGACTTCATCATATCTGAAGAGGATCACACCAAGGGCACCAAATATTTGTTGTGTTTATGCCAAGTGATCATGGTCTGAAGACAGTTCTTATTACAGTAACATAAAATAAATAAGTGCTGCTTCAATAAGGCTTATTTCGAATGGCTGGAAAAAAGTCAAGTCTCACCCACTGAAAAAACTGAACAGAAAAGCTGAATGAAAGTATTATGAATGAAACCATTTTGAACCCTAAAACACAAGCTTATGATGTTTAAAACTGGAGCTTAGTGGAAACAAGGAAGAAACTCCTGAGGTCATAAATATAAACGAATAAACCATAATAATAAAAAGGGAGCTTGGTAATGGATACCAAAGAAACTAGGAATTATTTGAAACTTAGTTGAGAAAAGAGTCAAAATGCAAAAGGGAAAAAACTGCAATATGCAGTAGTTTTTATTCCCATACTTGGCAATGCATTCCTTACAGTATGTTCTTTGTTGACCTAGATTTTGTTTCTACTGATTATTTCTTTTTGTGTGTGTGTCTTTTTAAAAGCTGCCTGCAAAACTTCAACTGGCACAAAGACGTAGAAACAGAAAGCAAGATAGGACAAGAGATTTGGAATGACAGAAGGCGCCTTTTTTCTATTTTTTTATACCACCCGCTCACAATTAAAACTTTATCTCCTCCAGATGACACACAGAAGGTGGGCAGGATTTTAGAAGCAGCTGATTGATGATTGTAGCAAGTAGGATGTCTGATTTTAATAGCTATCCTGCAGTGCAACTTTCATAAGCAGTTGTTAAATCCTCCTGTGTTCAGTGCTGGTAGGACACCCCAGCCCTTCCCTCACAAGAACTACATTTCTGCTTTCAGCATCTGGCAGAGTACTAACATCTTTAGTTCTTAGTCAGATTACTGCTGGTAAAGAGCATGGTAAACCTCGCAAGAGGGATATGCCAAGACTGATTACTTGTTTTACATGGGCTGAATTTGCATTTGCAATAAATGTGGTTTATTCCATTTGAGCTTTGCACTGAATCCTGAAATTGCAGGATATGATCCAGTTTAGGATTTCTTTGCTGAGAAAAAAAGATGCAAAGGGTATCTGTCCTACTGACTGTCTTGTCACCTACTTGGTGCAAATCACAAGATTTTAACGCCAAGTAATATATTTGCACGATAGAGGCCTCAGTACTGATCAGCTTCAGCACAGTTCTCATCAGATGCAGAACTGGAAAACATGGATTTTTTTAATCTTAAAAATAAAACTGTTCCCCCCCCCCCCCCCCCCCCAGTGACAGCTGATATTTCCAGAGGTTAAAAACGAAAAAGAAAAAAGGAAAAAAAGCATAAGCTTGTCATCTAGCGTTTAACAATAGAAACCTTTAAGAAGTGTGATGATTGGGAAAAGTTATCCTGTGTCTTTTGGGTCACAAAAATTCTTTCTGATGCTAAGCACAAAAGAAAAAATAAATTCTCTTTAGAATTGCCTTTGTAGTTTCTTTTCATTTATTCTTTTGGCTTGACATCAACGGAATAGGCTTTTTGTGTACCGTGTATAGTGCATAAACACAGAGAATGCATTTCAAGAAAAAGAAAAACGTTAGCTTTCCTGAGAAAGACAATGTGTTACCTTTTGAGAAACACTT